CGAAATCTCAGAATATCCGGATATTCGTCGGGGGCATATCCGGATATCTCTCTTCCAATATCCGGATAACCATATCCGGATAACCATATCCGGATATTCAGATCCTCATATCCGGATATCAATATCTGGATACCCATATCCGAATATTCACAACAAAATATCCGGATATTTCGCGACATAACCCAGATTCTGCATTTCGCGAAAATCCAAACCAAAGGTCCAACTTTTACCGATTACAGAAGCTTAAACATGCATTTCTAAGTGTGTTAAGCATTACCCAACATTAGGTTAACATCTTAGCTTGTTACATGCATCAAGGTTCTATTTTTAATCACTTAGACTCATGATCAAAGGTGATACACTTACCCAAGCTTGAAAACAGAGGAAGGAGTGCTCTTGGAGCTCACCAATGGTTCCTCACAGTTCTGACTACTAAGGTAAACAAAAATAATGCACAAGGTAGCTCTTTTACTCAACAAGGAAGCTCCTTGTAGCTTCAAAACACCAAATAAAGGCTCCATCCTCACCAAAACCAGAAAACAGCACACTCAACCTCACAAGACAAAAGCCAAACGCAGAAAATAAGTCTCTTTCTCACTCAAAAGGATTGTTCACACACACCCAAGGTGTTTAAGTGAGAAGAAATAGAAGAAAATGGCCATAAACCTCAAGAAATGTAGAAGAAAGCCAAAGGGTAGAGTTTCTGGTCACCCACACTCAGCAAGTCACGTAGAGGGAGTGTATGGCCTAGGGTTTTGGGCCATACTTTAGTATTTATAGCGTTTTAAAACATAAACATACATTATTAGCTTTAATTGCTGTGGTTATCATTTTAATCCAAAACTTAGGATTCTTAACCTACTCAATTTTACAAGAATTAAAATATTTTTATTTAATTTTTCGGAGCACCTTTCTGGTACGCGCTTTTCATAGCCAGTATCAATTTATGGCACCAGTTCTCATTATTTTAACTTGAAACTCGTTTTACAAGTCCTATAGATTATTCTAGGAATTCTCATGCACTTATTATAATTTTCTGGGATACTTTTTCGGTACGCATTTATACCGACTAGCAGGACTGGTATCTGCACTTTTCTTCCGAAAAGCGACTTTCAGCATTCTTAATCACTTATCATACTTATTTAAGCCTCATGATAATTATTAGGGTCAATTATGGAATTATTTTCTAATTCTCATATATAATTAATTAATTTCCTTAATTAACAGTGCATGTTCTTACAGTCAGCGCTCGGGATGTTACATGCCCACCAGCTTCCGACTGGTTCGTCCTCGAACCACACCGTACTGGAAGAGAGGCCCTGCTCTGATACCACTTGTAACGCTCGACCACTTCAAGAATCAATGATTATCCCCACATACTAACACGAGACTTTTTAGTGTGTTTTTTTCTTACTCGCACACTTCTTGGGAAAACTTCCCAGGAGGTCACCCATCTCAGAATTGCTCCAAGTCAAGCACACTTAACTGTGGAGTTCTTCCGTTCCGGGCTACCGAAAAGCAGATGCATATTGTTAGTATAGGTAGTACCAATTAATTCTTACTATCCCAAATTGTGCAGTCTCATACCTGCACAATTTTTGGAATCCCTCTCTTTCGGGTGTCGATTCGATTCATTCATGCATGAAACCCCCCACTGGAAGCCTGTCAGGAGCCGCTCCTTGTCCATGCCTCTTTGCACCGGCGATCACTTCCCGCCCTCGTCAGCGCTCGGGATGTTACAGTCGCCACCATCGTCGCCGCTATCATCGTATCACTAGTGTCGTCATCACCACCACGATGCCACCGCCACCATTACCACCACCTCCACCCATCACTACCACCATACCACCGTAACCACCACCATACCACCGTCACCACACCACAACTACCACCGTGCCATGCCGCCACACCACCACAACCACACCATATTGAAAGGAAAGTAATGATCCGAAATTTTTTTATATTTAATAGGAATTTTTTCTTTTATATTATTTGTTGTGTTTTCAAACACAATTCTCATTCTCGGAATAAAAATAAAACATGTTATCAAACACATTTTTTTCTCATAAACGGTTCCAAGGCGTAGAAATAACAAAGAATTTGTTTCTTTTCAGAAACAATGCTAGGGAATAGAATGGTTGTCCTGCACACCCTTATTGTTTGGGATTCTAACAATTTGTTTACGGTTACATTTTTTAATTAACGTGAAGATAAAAAAAAATAAAAAAAAATCATTGCTTATTACCGGACAAAGTGATTTACTAAGTTGAATATATAAGTCAAAAATTCATAAACACGATGTAGACGCGCAAAGAATGCTTTTCCAAAAGTCTTCTTCCAGAACATCATCAATCAGATATTCTTTCAATAAATTGGTTGAATAAGAAAAACAATTTGTTAACTTAATCACCACGCCTCATCAATCACATATTTGAAGGCTACTTTGGAATTTTTAAAGATTTTCCAGTGTAATACCATGTATAATAATATTATCAATAGCATACCCAGTAATATGTGAAGTTTGAACAGTATTTCGAGGAAGTTTCATGGTTCCTTCGTGCTCAATAATATATGCACAAACAGCTGAGAGTTGATTAAGCTGACATATTGATCATGACACGGTGGGATTGGTACTTGGTCTATGTTTGACTCTATGTCAAAACCTTGGGTGAGATAATATTAAAACAAATATTTTTCATGGATAGCAAACAAAACATTATATTTATTTTAATTTTTATGCTAAGCTTAACACAGCAAAAGTAACCTTATCTGGAGATCTTTATTTCCCTGAAGTTAAGCTTATCAGCATCTAGCTGTTATTTATTTATCTGGATGTATGACATTCAATCTAAACCTATATGTCCAAATGCTGAAACCTGACACTAGTATTATATAAACAATTGCGTGCCATTCTTTCGATGAATAAACAAAAACGATAAAAGTTAACTTCTTTACTGGAGACATGAAGATTACATTAACTGCCCGTTCAGGATTTAATGCCCCAATTCAACTATTTTTTTTATGCAAGCATAACAATAACATCAACAATAGTGGAGCCAGAAAATTTTATGGGAGGAAATGAGAAATTTAAAATTCACGCTAGGTAGAGTAACAATACAATGGATTGATAAGTAGTTAAATTTGAAAAACTCTTCAAATTTTCTTTCAAAACAGGAATAATAAGGACAATTGAGTGCAAATTTATATTACACTACCTTTTTTTAAGTCTAAATGCTATCTAAAACATATATTGATGACCTTGGGGGCAATCGCCCTCCTAACCCTTTCGTGACTCCAACACTAAGAACATGTAGGGAGGAGCAGTTGCCCCTCCCTACACTTTGATATTTATTATTATTATATATATATAAAATAATATTTTTTTAATAATAATATATTGTTAATCTTAATAGTTAGCTCCTCCCTCAAAAACACCTATAATGGTTAACCTCTAATTTTATTAATTTTAATAATACTTGTAACTTTAATCTTTAAATTTCGTCCCTTGTCACAAAAATTTCTAGGTCCGCCACTGTGTTTCGGTTTGATATTATGAGCTACAAGTTGGTCCAATATTAACAGTCTCACACTGTCAGAATTCTCCATAAATGACCGCTTAATATTATCCCATTATATATGTTATGATAATGCATATGTAATATAATGTCTATATTTTTACCAAAAAAAAAAAAATATAATGTCTATATATTTTAGTCACTAGAATTGGTATAATGGTGAGAGAATTGAGTAATTTGCATGGAATTATAGGTTCAAACCTCAGTGCCACCTTTGTATCTAGAAAAAAAAACAAAGTCTATATTTTTATTTGAATATGTGCAAATTGGAAATAAATAATAAAATGGGAAAAAATAGAGGTGCTAGATGAAGTTTCTGTTTTCAATCACTCTTGGTCGTGTTTATTGTTCACTAGTTCGTTGCCTACTTTAATGGAAAGGAAGGGAGGGCTTAATTTAGCAACCTGACTCACGCTGGATATGGATTTTTTATTTTATTTTCTCCCTTATTTTCCTTTCCCTGGATAGAGAGAAACGAAGTCATCTAAAATTCCAATTTGTCCCTTTCATTGTTGTTGGTGAGAACGAGGACGTTTCTACGGTTGACTAACATTACAAGATCATTGCTTTTACAATTAAATCTAAAGGCATCTCGTATATGGCTCAACCTGTCGCATTGATAAAAGAGACCTCATAATAAATACAATAGAACAAATTATAAAAGAGGACACGGATCAGATCATGAGGCACACCCTCTTTTTGAATTAGAAAGAACACATTGTCGTGTTCATTGGACATTTGTGTAGAAATGTTGAAATTTTCTTGAAACTTGTTTGGTACAAAGAAATGACCAACCTCATTCACAAAATAAATAACTAAATAAACTTACAAATCTGTAATTACAAAGGGTAAATTGAGAAAATAAATAAATAAATTCACAGAAAAAGAGAAAAATGTAAGATAGTGCAAAATATGAATAAAAAATAAATCTCACCTTATACTAATGCCTTCATAGTTTAGTGGTGGGTCAGTAAACACATGATATACTTGATTCGATCCCTATTGAGTCTCAACACTAAGACTTGGTCTACCATTTCCTATCTCACAGCTTGTCTTCTACCCTCCTTTATTATAAACAATGCAAAATCAAAAAGAAAAACCTAACTACATTATTATAACATCATTTTAATTGGAGAAAACGAATATTAATTAATTTTAATCAAACAAATTCATCCAAATATGAATTTTATTTTTCTATTCGTTGCTACTTTCTCCCTCTCATCTCGTTAGCCTTTTTTCCTCACCCTTTACATGAGGTCATTTTTTATATTTAATTTATGCATAGAAAAATAAACTAGTAGAAAAGTAGACTTAACAAGACTATATTTGTTGTGTGTACAAGTTCCATCCACAAACGCCGCAGGCTGCGCCATGTTATATAGTAATGCTTCAAAAGTTAGATCTCAAACAATCTGAAGAAACTGGAAGTGAAACCATAGCCACACCCTCAGAACAGCAGCTATATATGCATATATATCTGATATCACCAATATCTTAGCATAAAGGCTACACAAATGGAAGACAAAGTTGCAATAAAAAAATTGCTGCAAGTTGAGGAAAAGCTATATGATAATAATACTGTAAGTTTTCATACATGGGATATTGTATATACTTGTTCAATTACTAGCTATGCTTTTTCAATTATTGCTTAACACTTCACCTTAGTCTCTCCCTGATAATTTCACCCTTTTTTTATACTTTTTTTAGTATCCATTATGCAACTTTTTTAAATGAATCATATAAATATAAGATTTTCCCATAATATGACACTCTTTTGGGGTTATTAAATGATCTTTGCTAACTTACATGGATGAGAGAATTGTGCAGATGGGATCTACACTTCTCAGTTTGAGCCTGAATAATTCAGAACATTCTCTCCACCAAATTCAAGGACAACCCCAAACCCAAGTGAGTGATCTTTCTTGGCTACCCCATAAACCACGAATATGTGTTTTAGTTTTAATATGCATAAGATTTAATTGATGCCCCTTATGTTGGACATGATCAATAAGTAGTTTTTGGGTGTGATGAGTGTGTCTTAGATGGGTATGCTGCGAATCAAGCTTGAGGAAGCGAAGAAAGAGAATGAAAATTTAAGAGCTATGCTAAATCAGGTTAATGAACACTATACTGCTCTTCAGAATCGCTTGCTTTTGACGCTGCAGCAGCATCAACTATCTTCATTATCTCCAAATAATCACCACTTGCAGGTAAGTTTGACTTAAAAATCAACTTGTTTTGTATATGCTATTGTTTGATTAATAGTTCATTTTTTCTTCTATTACATTTACTTTAAAAGATTTATCATAAATAATTAATCTCGTTTAACTTGGTCAACAACTCCACATATGTTTTCAATAATTTCCGGCCTAAAGTGTTCTCACTGCTTCAAAGAGTTAAAGACAAACAGATAAACAATGATCATGAGAAAAAAACAATAGAAAACAGAAAAATATTATTTGTTGTTGTTTCGTAATTACATGACTTGAGTTGTGCTTGATCATCAATCTTTTTGGTAACTGTGGCTAACTAAATTTGGTTAATATGGTTAATTAATTAAACTTTTTAAGCCTGATCTTTACACTTTGTTATATGAAAAAACTAACTAAAGAAATAATTAAACTTTGCATTTCTTAATAAATTTAGCAGGGAAATGGACAACATGTTGAGAAACCAGTGTTACCCACTAGACAGTTCTTAAATATTGTTGAGACTTCACCTTCAGATGGCAGCAAAACAGAAGGATATGCCTCCCTTGAAAACGTTGAGAATAACATGTACAGAAACCTTGCATATGCGTACAATGTTGAAGGTAAAATCAACAGCCAAATAATACCGCAAGAAGCGAAACGCATAGAAGATCAAGCACATGGTTCTTGCATGAAAGCTAGAGTTTCCATACGGGCACGATCTGATTTTTCTTTGGTATGAAGTTCTATCTCTTTTTGTATTGTTTTGTTATTATTATTTTGTATAGAACTGATATTAATTTTATATTAGAAAATGTTCAATTCACACTCTACAATTTTGCAAGATGTGCATTATATATAACCCTTAAACTGAAACATGTAATATGATAAATCTTTTCAAACTTTTTTTTTTTTTTTTTTTGGATTGCAGAGGAAAATAAAAATCTTTTCAAACTTTGAAATACAGAAGTTTTAGGAGTAGTGTCAATGAACTACATGCATTATCATATACGTTTTTAAAGTTGAATGACTATACTATATATCAATATAAAGTTGAAGGGTGTAAATTGATTTTTTTTTTCTTTTAAAGTCAATAGTTACCTATCAATTTTATGCATTTAATTGACTGATAATCATGGCCGGCTGGTGGTTAAGACTATATTGATTTTGTCCCCTATTTTATAGATTCCATATGATTTTATAATTGTATATTAATTATAAATTATTTTAAAAATATGTAGAAGTGAACATAATTAATAAAATATTCACATAAACACATATATGTTCCGACTTTTCTAATTAAACTTCAGAGTAAATTTCTATTTCATCTCACTGTCCACATTATTTCTTATTTTCATACCAATACAACCTCTATTTTCATTTTATAATATACACTTTTTAATATTTCTTTTTTCACAGTAAATGGGGAAATTATTTCCGCTCCGAAGTAATTTTAATTCTTAAATAAGAACAACAATGTATCGACTATCGAGAAAGGTTAAATAGATTAGCTATATTATTATTAATTTGAAAATTATAGTCAAGGTTGATTATAAAAATTAATGTTAAAAGAATATTTTTCAACAAAAAATAAAATACATCATGTTTAATAAGTTAAAAAAGAAGAAGCTCAAACTACCAAAAAAAAAAGATGAAGCTCATTTTACAATTTTGTTCTATTTTATTAATGTATGCATTTGTGCTTACATGATTATGCATTAAGGGCCCGTTTGGATGAGTTTTTTTTCTTCAAAAGCTGTTTTTTTTTTCAAGAAAAAAAGCACTTCTCGTTTTTAGTTCGCTTTTAAAAAAAGCAAAAGTCATAAAAAAAAGTTAAAAACCTATTTTTTCCAGAAGTTAAAAATTTTAACTTCTAAGAAAAGCAAAAGTCAAAAGTCAAATATTTTTTTCAAAAACTAAATATTTTTATAAAAATATAAATAGCTTTAACTTTTATAAAAAGCACTTCTAAAATAAGGAAGAGATAAAAGTTATTTTTCGAGATAAATGTGATTCTATAATGTTCAGATGGGAGATGGGTGTCAATGGAGAAAGTATGGACAAAAGACATCCAAGGGCAACCCTTGTCCCCGTGCCTATTATCGTTGTAGCATGGGAACTGCATGTCCAGTTCGTAAGCAGGTTCGTGTAGATAACTTTTTCTTGGAGCCAACCTTATATATAATTTCTTGGCGTTACTTCACTTTGCTTCCCCTTTTGTTACAACACATGAATGGCCAATTTTTGTTAACTATGAATGTATCTTTGCTGTCAGATCAGGGAATCATACATTCAGTTATTAAGTTCCTTATTATTCTTCAACCTACACTTAATTTTATGTAAATTGTGGACTTAAAATAAACTTGAAATAGTAATAGGGTTAAGTATTTCCAAAAAAAAGAAAGAGAAATAGGGTTAAGGAATTCAAAATGTATCATATTGATTAGGGTTTTAAATTGAGTACAAAATCTTAACCCAAAATCTTAAAAAAAATAATTTAGGGTCCTTCCACGTATATATATTTTTCGGAGAAGCGTCCATTTACAAATTTTTTTACAAATTATACTAAGTTTGACTGGTCATACACTCTTTATTGAAATATGACCGGTCAGACATATATAGTGTAGTTTGTAAGAGTTTATAAACAAAAAATTTGTAAATATAACATTTCCCATATTTTTATCATTTAATTCATTTCTAATCAAAATAAGACTTTGTTACATCTCTCACACTTGAATTCCCAACGGTGTCAATTGATAACATTAGTTACATGTTTAAGATGAATTCAAAGCAAATAATCTGTCCTTGCTTTGATAATTCTAGTCTGTAACCAGCAGACTCACTTCAAACTATTCCAATTTGCCTAAATGCATGAGACTTAAGATCAATATCTACCTCTCCATATTTATAAATTCTCTTTTAGCATGCTATATATGGCTTCAAAGTATCTTGCAAGTTTACTTAATTAGGATATGGTATATTTACATTGTAATTAACAGGTGCAAAGATGTTTTAAGGATGAGACAGTTCTCATCACAACCTATGAAGGAAACCATAATCATCCACTCCCACCAGCAGCAAGACCTATGGCAAGCTCAACATCAGCTGCATTAAACATGTTCCTTTCTGGCTCAACCACAAGTTTACATGGCAGCAGTGTGTCAAATTTAAGCCTCTTCTCTTCATTATCTAATACTGCTTCCACTGCTTTAGCTACTTTCTCCCCATCTGCATCATGTCCCACAGTAACACTGGACTTAACCCAACCCACTAATGACTACTTGCAATTCCAAACGGCCACTTCATCAAACCACAGACAATCATTGTTCCCATTGCCAGAGTACGGTTACACTCAAACATTTGAGGGGTTGAACTTGTGTTCTAAGCTTCCAACTATGGTAACTGCAGAGAAAAACCTTGCCTTGGTGGATGTTGTGAGTGAAGCTATAACCAAAGATCCTTCTCTCAAGGCAGCATTATTTGCAGCCATTTCCTCACTCAATGGAGATTCTCAGAACATCAATAACCACAACCAACCTAGTAAGAGTGGATATGATCCTTGTTCTAAGATGCCTTCAATACCACCACATCAACCCTACACTACTCAATTGATTTAGAGTTAATATATATTATAGTTGTTAAATTAATAAATCCAACAGCAAATATGGCTTGCCTGCCAGAAGAAGAGGTGAACATGTTATTTATATTTAAATATATATTAGTCGTTAAATTGTAAAATAAATTAATGAACAAAAGTTTTGGTTCTTGGATCATGTAATTATATCCGCCTCAAATTTATATAATATAGTGAATGGATATATCTTTGTTTGAATGAATGGAAATTTAAAGGCCATTAATGAGCCGGTGTTCTAGTTTTCGGGGGCCAATTTAGAATACAAATCAACAAATGATGGTAGCTCAGTTGGCGCAAGGGAATGAACAGGTGGGGATGAGAGTATATGTTTGATCTTTTCCATTATCATCTTTGAAAGAGGTTTAGGCCTTAATCCCAAGATTCGTCCCGAATTGGACTAGTCGCAAAGCGATGAACCAATTGAAATATAAAAAAAAAAACCAAATCAAGGGTTTTGTGACAAGAAACAATAAATGACTCGGCAAGCACAAAGGGGGCATGGCATGTTATGGAGAGTCATGTTTTTCTCTTATTCTTCTCGTCACCTCTTCTTGTTTTTTATTTTCTTTAGATGAAGCTAGGTCCAAAACAACAACATCCGGCCACAGTTAACATGCTCTCGAAAGATAGCTAGCTATAACAGTTGGTTACCATCTCATGCGAATTCTGGAATGGAAAACAACAAAATCCAATCATGTAAACAACAGTTAAGTTAGTCCTTCAACAGTTAGCGTGGCGAGTCATCATAGTCAAGGTCAATTCATGCACCATGATTGCCGTGTATTGTCTTTTAGTAATTAGTCTTCTCTCCATCAATATGCTGTGCAAGGACGTTAATAATTGATGGATAGTAGTGATTTTTTCCAAATCAAATTCGTTTATATATATTTACACATTATTATTCGCACACTAAATAGTGTGATGTGAAATTTACCCAATTAAACAACTTTCAATTGGATAACAGTTTTACAAAATTCAGCATTAGATTAAATGTTTCTATTGTGTAGTTTATTGTTGACCTTGCTAAAGAGTATACAAGATACGTGCAAATATATGCAGACACAAGTAATATAGAGCCTTTAACTCCGTTCTCATAAGGATCTTTGGCGTCTTTGACTTGACTAAAATTTGCAATTTCTTAAAACTGAATTTCTAATTAAAAAGAAAAGTATGATTATGTTTGATAAACCGAAAATAAAATAAGCAAACAAAAGACTTAGGGCTTATTTGATTGTGTTCTGGTTTTTTTGTTCTTAAAACTGTTTTGTAAACAAGTTATGAAAACAGTTGTTTTCTATATTTTTTTTTCTTTTTGAAAGTTAAAAACTAAAACAAAAAAACAAAAACAACTCAGACATGTTTTCTAAATTTGATTCTAAAAAAAAAAAACCAGTTATAGTTTTCAAAATATTTTTTACAAAACAGGTCTTACCAAACGAGTTTTTTAGTTTTTTTCTTCTGAAAACTAAAAAACTGTTTTTAAAAACAATAATTAAATAGAGCCTAAGTTTACCGGGAGTTTTCTGATTTAAATTTGAAATCAATTTCTTAATGTGAAAAACTAAAGAAATAAAACAAACTAAGAATATTATTTTTGGATTTTTCAAATTGGTTATATTTTGCAAGAATTACTAAGAATTTAAGTGAATAAAAAAAAACAATCAAAATTGACAAAGTGTTAAGAAATCTAATTAGAAAAACGAGTTCAATTTTGATTCCTTTCCCATAGCCCCTAGTGTCCAATTGGTTAACAAGATATTCTTTCACAATTGTTTTTCAATTGGTAGACAACTGTGGATATTTAATCCCTTAAAAATTCTTTTCCCTTTTATTCTCACACAACTTATCCCTAAGCAGGTGAAACTAAGAACTTGAAGCTCAGGTCCTTTTGGCCACATGGAGGAGTAAAAATCATATCTGAATTACTCCATCAAATAATCCCTTATTTTAGTCCATGAGCTCAACTTATTTTCCATAGAAATTTATTTCCCAATAAATTCCCCCTAAACAATCCTATTTCATACGGCCGAAATGAAATAAAATTTAAACAAGTAAATCAGAGTTAAACTAAAAAAATTAAACATTCATTTCAGAAAAGCAATCAACACTAGTCACTGTGGTTGGCGTCTCAATCACCTAACCCTTGAAAAACTTAGCTCAAATCCATAAGGATTGAGCTTAACTACAGGAATGAAAGAAAATACAAAGAAAATGAGATGCAGAAAGTTAAAACCACAACATGAGTACTATCCACTGAGATAGTCTCGTCACTATGCTCAAAACTAAACAAAATAAAATAAATTCTTACAATACCAGAAAGGCAAAAACAAAATAAAAACAAAAATGAAGAAGAAGAAGAAAAATACAGAAGAAGGTCAGAGAGAGACTACATTTTCGCACAAGCTCCTATTTATATCAGCTCTCTTACACATGCATAGGCTTGGGCTGCTCTATCAGCATCGTCCATGAGTGCTCCCTTTTTACAAATAGTGCGATCCTTCTTTACGCAAGCACCCCCATGGTTTGCAGTCCAAAAATGTTAGCGCACCACTTTTTGTAACAAACTAACCTCAACATAGCAGATAGGATTTTTCGCTTTGCTAATTTGTGAACGGTTTAGGTTAAGTTGTGGGTTAGGAAAAATGATTGGGTGAAAACAGTAGGAAAGATGACTTAGTGGCAAAGGGGTTTAATGAGATCAAGGTCAAGTGCAATGATAGTTAGATGCAATGTGTGGATTTGGTTGTGATTTGGTGTGGATGTCATGGTGAACACATAAGGATGGTCTTGGTAAGATTACTTTCTTCCCTTATTTTTGTCTTTCTTTTAGCATCTGAATTGGGTCTTGCATCAATGGGCCTTGATTCTTTCTCATCATTCCTTGCTTTAACTATTCTTTCCTTTTACCTTCTCCATTGGGCTTAAGTTTGGATTACTGCATAAAAAGATATAACCAATGAAAGCCCATAACATTTTGAGGGTAAAGTGTGATAAGAAATAGATATAATAAGATTAAACATGTCACCGTATCACTAATCCTATTATTCTAAAGTCTCTTTTGAGAAACTTATCACTTATACTTACGAAATTTTAACTCAATCCAAAATTATTTTGTACTTTTATATTCTTCAAAAAATAATGTAATTCGTGTTTATTAAATATATAAAATTATAAGCTATTCGATTACATTATTATTAATGTCTATTTTTTTTTTAAAAAAAGTAGCATAAAGAATCATCAAGATTAATAGTTACAATCCAGTGGCACAAGAATATTAAATTTTACACTGGCATCTATACGTATAAATATTGTGTACAATGAATGTAAATATATTTTTGTTTTAATATGTGATGATTATAATTAATCAGGGGTTAACATTTAAAATTATAATTATCGATGCTAATATTAAATGGGCAATACTTTTCTTTTATTATAGGAGAAAATTTTTGTTTCTTGCACAAATAATAATATAGGTGGGGGTCCATTAAAAAGAGAAGAAATAAAAAAATTAAAATGGAATTTACCTTTAAATTGTTTGTGCGTGGGACAATATTTTCTCTGGTAACGGGGAAAAGTATTGTCCATATTTATTTATTTTTGATAAATACAGTTAATATTGTCCATATTAAATATAATCAAATATTAAATTACGCATTGGTCAATGCTTAGAATTAGATATCCCCCACTTGCACCAGTCAGCACACCTCAACAATTTTAATTTTATTTTAATTCGAAAAAAATTAAAAAATCCCTTATGATTATATTTTCAGAGGTTAAAATCTCTTATAAATTGTATTATATACTACTGTACTAGGGGTAGGGGTAGTATATTCTTTCTTCTTCTTTTTTGTATAAAAGGGATAGTATATTCTAGCGTACAGTATATTATCCCTAGTACATAATGCAGTTTATAAAAAAAAAAAAAAAAATTATAAATATAACTCTCCCCTATTTTGAATTACTTAACTACCTATATTCTTTTTAATCACTTGCCCATCTATAATTTTTTTTTTAGAGAAAAATGTTTATCTGTCACACTCACGTAAAAATGATTAGGTTCCACTATCAAAAGTAAAGAGAAAAAAAAATTAATAAGACTCACTCACTTGTATATGAGTGTGGTAGATAAATTTTTTCTATAGTAAAAAAAACATTAAATTCTTTTTTCCATCCAAACTCATCTTTAAAACACTTAGAAACTAAATTAATCTGTGTATTTTATCCTATTTAAAAGAAGAAAATAGATTAGGGAAAAATAAAAAATAAAAATAAAAAACTTAGAAAAGACTAAAAAAACTAAAATTGAAGAGAAAAATTAAAATATATCTAAATCAAAAAGACGAGAATAGACTTAAAAAAATACCAAATATGTTAAAAACTTATAACAATAACACAAAAAGACTAAAAGTAAAAAACAAAATAGTTTAAATACAAAAAATGAAGAAGGTTATACTTACAACTTTTTTTTTACAACCTCTTACAACTATATCTTAACACCGTTGATTTCCGCAAATCAACAGTTATGATTTTTGCAAATTAAACTCATTAATTAATTATTAATTCACAATAAATGATAACCGTTGATTGACGAAAATCAACGGTGTTAAGAGATGATTGTAAGAGGTTGTAAAAAAAAAGTTGTAAGTATAACCTTTCTCACAAAAAATATACTGAAGACAAAAAACAATAGAAGAAAAAAAGGTAGACCAAATATATGTAAATAAAAAAGAAGAAAACAGACCGAGGATAAAAAAAATAGAAAAAAAATATGTTAGAAATTTCCAAAATTGATTTTTTTTTAGTCTTCTTTTTTCTGCAATTTCTTTTAACAGTAATAAAGAAGACTAAAAGTTAAAAAAATACAACAAAAAAAATCATATCTAAATTAAAAAATAAAAAAAAATAGATTGAGAACAAAAACTTAAATAAATAGAAGAAACAATAGAGTCAATAATGAGAAAAGTTTTTTTTTTAACTTTTCCTTTTAATTTCAAAGGAATAAGAATAGCACAACATAAATTTGTGTTATTTGAATAATTTTTTTTTTTTTTTTTGATAACATAAATTTTTAGTGTATTAGAT